ACGTCTCTTTTAGGACATAATTCATTTGTATTTTATACTTCTTTATTTTTAAACAAATAACTCTCCAATAATAAAAAATTTAACGTAAAATAATCTCTTACTACCAATTAAATCTATTGTTTTTCAAAAATATTTTTGATACATTTGTTAAAAGAGCAAAAAAAATTAATTTCTCAGTGATGGGGTAACTGGATGTGGTCTCTATCTTGCGTTGAGTTTCATGCTGGAGCGAATGGCCGTCGACAGAGAATGCGATGTTTGCTTGGCGGTGCGAGCAATTAGACGATCGAGACCAGATTTTGTTCAATCTTTGGTAATATATTAATTTTTTATTAATAGAGAAAACGAGAGTCAATTGTGTATTTATTGTGAAAAATATACTATAAATAATAATTAAAAAATATTAATTGTAAAAATAATTATAAAAAAGTTTGTAATATGTTCAATACAGAAATATTTTATGTACATTTTAATTTATAGGAACATCTGGAATATCTATGTGATGCTGCAGTAACATATTTCAAGTGTTTTGAAACTTATGCTAACTTCTCTTAAAATATCAATCTTATACGCGAATGTGATATAATATAATATTATAATTATAAATATTACAGTTAATATATACTCATGCTTACTAATATACAACTAAATATTTTATTGTTTTTGTAATCAGATGTATGTGAAATATTATAGTGAAGAATCAGGTCCGCATTTATACTTTTGGAGGCCCCAGGCGCAACATCATTATGAGGCCTCAATAGAACAAGTCTATTTCAATTAATCAAATTCATATGCATTTTTTTTAAGTGTTTATTGAAAATAAAAGTCGATATGCATTACATGATGCAAAAGGCGAAATTTAATAAACAATTACCGCTTACAAATTTTTCAGCGGCCTCTAGTTTTTATATTATAAATTTAATATTTAAAAGTAAGTATTTTATTTTGCAACTATCAGTAGGCTGTTTTTCATATTGTCATTAGTGAGCAGTAAGATTTCAAAATGAGGCCCCAGCTTGCGCGTAATGCGCCTTATGGTAAATGTGGCCGTGATAACTCAAGATATTTTTTAATGGTTTTAATCTTATTATTATGTATATTATTATATTTTTTATAATAGCAAGCAAGGTACACACCTTGCAAGTTCTTTTGCGCAAAAATATGAATAGATGTGATACAAGCTTGACAACTTGGAGATTAATTTCTCAATATTTTTGTCTATATTTATTGAGCACAATTAAGACTGTGTGTCTTTTTGAAAAAAAAATTAATACATTTTCTCAGTAACGCTAATAACATATATAACTTTCTTGTTGTTTAATTTTAAACGACATTCGAACTTTGTATTGGCTATTCTTGCACGATTGCAGTCTTACAAAATGTATTGACATTTTTTGATTTCCTTAACTCAAGTCTTTAACTCAAGATATTTTTGCACAATTTTTATACTTTATCATTAAGTTTATGTATTTTTATTTTTAACACACATGTTTCGTAAAAATAAAATATTAATATACGTTTAATTGACATATTTTTAAGGCTTAATATTAAGTGCAATATTTTTCATGAAATTAAAATACATATGACATCGTTTTGTGACATGAAGAATATATTTCTTAGAAAATTGAGTAATTGTTTTATTATTCTAATTTTTGCACTTTAACAAAGCCAAGTGTGCTAATTGAGTATATTAATAAATTTTTTTTACATGGTAAGTTCTGTGTAGAGTTTGAGAGTTCTGGACGCCCCCCGAAGAGTTCTAACGATAATTATTAATACTCGAAGCGCTCAGAGGCGAAATAAAAAAGTTCTCGGTGGTTGAAGATTCGGATTCGAAAAATTTCTAAGTCCTACAAAAAAAAAATTTTTTTCTCGGTAACCG